CGGGGCTTTCCCCGGCTCTGGGTGAGGAGGCTCGGCGCGGGCATTCGCCGTTAAACACCACACGCAGAAGTGCGCGTTTCTGATGTCTTTTGCCAATACAGCAGCAGGCTCTGGGTTTGAATCTTGTGTTTGAGGAGAACAGGGCGGGTTTTCCTTCACAGGGCGCAGTGACGTGAGCCTCCACCAGCGCTTGCCCACCTCACATTTGTGTGTGTATATTTATATATATACTGTGTGCGGCAGAGCTTGTGGCACGGAGCAGCTCTCCTACGTGCCGACGGTGGCAAAGTGCACCTCGGTGTTATCTCCAGCACAGCGATACGGTCAGCAGTGTGATTTAAAGAACAAACAAACGGGTGGCTCTTCCAACTCACGCACCTGTAGCAGAGCACACCCGTGTAAAATTTTACGTCTTTTAACACCTGTCACATGCTTGTAAAACTATATTGAGGAAGGATTTACTTACCTCTTTCCAAGAGCGTTTGCATGTGTTACACAAGGGCAGGTACGTCGAAAAAGTGAGCCCTCGCCTGTGGCTGGGCTGCTGGGGCGTGAAGGAGAGCCCAGGCCTTGCCCCAGCTCTTCGGTCTCGAGTGGACATTCAGCGGCTTTCCTTTTCCTCCTGTTGAGCCACAGGCTTGCGAGCATGTGAGGGCGGTCACCCAGCTCCTGGGTGATGGTCCAGCACAGCATCAGCTTCGGAGCTGGGCCTCTCACCCCTCGGAAAGGTTAATTTTCCAAGCTGCCGCTTGGCACCGTGCTAAAAGTGCAGATAAAGCTTTTGGCCAATTCATCCTGTAGTCCGGCGGGTGTGACTGCCTGAAGCGCACCCCGCAGCCAGCCTCCGGGACACAGCGGCCTTGGGAAGTTCTCGACGGGGGTTGAGAGGATGAAGAGTCGGAGGGCAGCACAGCCTTGCGCTTTTCCTTCTTTTTGGCTTGACGCTAGAGGTTTTGAGGCCACAGGATAAGTCTCCTACTGTGGACAGTGCACTCTAGAATGTGAATTTTGTATCCGCTTCCACTTTTTACCTCTTCATGTCCTGCAGTTCAAGTTAAATATGATTATTTTGTTTAATGCAAACAAGTGTATGGCCGGGATGGAGGTGGACCAAAATATCATCTGAAGAAATCTTGTATTGGTTGGCTGGGATAGGTTTTTGCCTCCCCTCCCTCCTCCTCTTCCCCTTCGGGCAGCACCAGCCCTTTTCATGTCCCTTCAGGCAGCCGTGGCCTGGAACCTTTCTCCTTAGCAGCTCCTGCCCCTACAAATAGCTGTACTTCTCCACATCCTATTCTTTCCAGGCTGTTTCGTAGCCTATTTGAAATGCATCTTGAGTCCTTTGCCTGGTGTTAAGTGCTGTTGTGCCGCCAATTCTGCAAAGACACAATTTGTATGAAAGTTGCTGGAAAAATACTGCTCATTTTCAGCTGTTATCCTCTGATATATTTAACACAGCATGGTGTAAAATGTTTAGTAGGTAATGCATCGTTTTAGAGAAAGGCTTCAAAGACTTGCTTTCAAAAAGATTTCAAAATTTAGTGTGCTTTACGTGGAAATGGCTGATCTGTTTCCTGGTCTGCGTAGCACTGAGCTGATGATCTGGATCTCCATCTTTGGGCCTCCTATTTACCAGTGCTCCTTTTTTTTTTTAATTTGCAATTTCATGAGAACATTTCTTTGCTGGTACTTGGGAGAGAGGGAGAAGAGGCGTGAGTAACTGGTAGGAACTACTAAAATGGCTTTGTCTAAAGTTATAGACAACTATATATCTAAATTTCACACACGAAGGAAAGATCAAGTAGGGGAAAAGACATTCTTTATGTTTGTTTTCCTTACCCACCAATAAATATTTAAATGATCTTGATGACCTCATTCTTTTTTTTTAATTCAGGAAAAAAGGTATATTGGTATCTGGAAGAGAGACCTGGGGAATTTCCTACAGTGCTTTATTGCTCAGCCTTCAAGCAATTAAATAGTTGCAGGGATGTTTCTAAGCCAAAGCAACCTCCTTGTTCAGCTGTTAACAGTCTGTTTGCTTCCTCGTTAGTGACTTCATTTATTGAGTTAGTTAAAATACAAGCATGTTTTATTTTTATTTGAAAGGAAAAAGTTCATAACCTGGAAAGAAGCTGTTGCTTACGGAGGGATTTGTGCTCAGTGTTGCTCCCCCTGCCCCTTTTCTGGTCGGCTGTAAGAGCAGAGCTGGCTCTTTAGGAAAAGGTGCCCTCAATTTTCTCTATTTGCCCTCACGGCCAGCACCGTCTTGTTTCAAAGCAGGCAAGGAAAAAAACGGGAGAGATGCTCAGATTCAAATCAGAGCAAGGAAATCCACTTTTCCGTCCCTAATTGAATCCGAGCGCAGAGCCTAATTAATCCCGTCCGAAGGAAGGAACATGACGCAGAGCAGAGGAAGGACGCGGCAGCCCTCCTTCCTGCTCCCGCTTGGACGACCCTTCTGCTATGGCCCAGCAGGAGCCTGGTGGATGCCCCGTGGAGGGTCCCGATGGGTGCCGGTGTTCAGCCACATGTCCCTTACTGGGACTGTGTGACACCGGAGCATCCCTGCACGTCCTTGCACCACCAGCCCGCCCGAGGGGGCTCGGACCAGGCGGAGAAGCTGCAGCGCGGTCGGGCGACACGTGAGCTCGGCGGGGACGGAGCTCTGGGGCCGAAGGAACCCGTGGTGAGCCCCGGCAGGCCAGCGTGGTGCACGCTCCCACCTAGTCCCCTGGTTCCAGCGCTGTGATTTAGGAGCTGGCAGCGTGGTAGAGCCTGCTACCGAAAGAGCTCCTAACAAAGACCCCTCCTAAGAGTGGCTGCTTCCTGGGGGCAGGGAGCAAAGCACGGCTCCATCCCGCGCTGCCCGGCCGAGGCTTCCTTGGTGCGTGGTCCAGGCGCCTGCTGACAGTGGCACCTTGCAGCGCTCCCGGGCGCGGGCGCTGCCAACAAAGCACCGATTTTTCAATTACTTATGTCTGCAAGGCCAGGCTCACTGAAGAAGAAATTAATTCTGTGATTCTAATAGGTGCCTCTTCCTAATAGCTGCTTAATCTGTGACTGGAACAGGGTAACGTGCAGGACGGCAATGACGGTAACTACCAGGAAGCATTAGTAAAACCTGCGCTTGAGAAAACGAAAAGGGTGTGTTTGCCTTTCTCAGAGGAAGACTGCTGTTTGATGTTCTGCTCTTGTCTTTGGCACTTGCTAAACAAGAGCTTGGGAACTGGCAGCTGACAGAGGTTGCACAGGGAAGGAAGAAGAAACGGGCTGGCAACGGAAGATAACCCGTATTTGAGGCCAGATACGCATCCCTCTGCTCACTCCCTAGCACGAGGGCGGCAGCTGGGGCCAGACACCCCCCCCGGCTCTCTGAGCCCCGCTGCACCCCGGCCAGAAAGTCGAGTCGGGATGGGCAAAATGCACGGCACAGGCACACCCACAGTGGGCTTCGGGCGAGGACAAAGGCCTGAGCATAAATGCAGCTCCTGAGCAAAGGAGGGGTGACCCCAAGGAGGGGAGACCCCAAGGAGGCTTCACGCAGCTCCTTTCCCAGCAGTCTGACCCCAGGTGCCAGCAGGATGCATGTGTACGTACGGGTATGGTTATGTCTACGGAAAGGCTGCTAATTTTCAAAGATAACTGGCTTAACTAACAGAGAGAGGACAAAACTCTTGCTGCGGTCCGCACAGCCCACTTTCTAGGATGCAACAGGATTGTATGGAAATGTAACAGCCTGCAGGGCGGTGAGCCCGGACTGCCTGCTGCCATGCGTTTCTCTCCATTACTGCAATAAAAAGCTAGATTTTGACCAGAGAACAAGGAATAACATTCTCAGAGCCTTCTGCTTCATTTGAGAACCTAAACACTACGGACTTTTCATTAATTTATTTAAAGTTCTTTGGAAAATTTTACCCTATACCTCTCAGGATTCTTACCATGGTTTTTGTGATGGTTTTGTAGGTAGTTCCAGCTGAATTAACTGTTGCCTTCTCCAGGGGAATACACCAACGGGAAGCTGACTTGTATTTACATGTAAGGATGTGAGCCTAAGTCCAATCAGTTACAAAGCCAGCATCAGGAATTAGTCATGCAGTTGTTTGTGAAATTACAGTCAGCTAGGAAATAGCAGCAGAAAAAAATAATGTATATTTCCGGGTAAGTGAATCATATTGAACAGTTTTGCTTGTCTGTAACAAATGCATCACCTGCAAAATTTCCCAAGGCATGAATTTATCTCCCAATTATTAGGAAGGAGCCTGCTGCCATACTGACACACTTCACTGCCAGTGAATGGG